GCCGTATGACCAAAAATATTAAATTTTCAAACCCGCGTACAAAAGTTTTGAGAAGGCATCATGGGTAGGCACTTGACCAAAAACTGCCACAGTTCATTGCAAACGTGCCACTAAAAGTTGAACAAGATCGGTGATGTGCTTTTTGAGTTATACTCATCCAAGTCAGTCAGCGTTAACATTAGCGAGATAGGCATTTGAATATCAATGTGGCCGCTGTACCAAAAACGCAGAAGTGTCATGAATAGCGACTGCCACCATTCGATGGAGGTCACTTTGGACTATATATGCCGTAATTTCTGTGCATATTGGTGAGTTCTTTTTTGTTGACTTTGGCCGTATGACCAAAAATATCAAATTTTGAGACCCGCGTACAAACGATTTGAGAAGGAGTCATGGGGAAGGCACTTGACAAAAAACTGCCTTAGGGCCTTGCAAACGTGTCATTACAAGATGAAAGTAAACGGTGATGTACTTTATGAGTTATTGGCCTTTAAGTCAGGCAGTGTTAACATTAGCGAGATAGGCATTTGAATATCAATGTGGCCGCTGTACCAAAAACGCAGAAGTGTCATGAGTAGAGACTACCACCATTCGATGGAGGTCACTTTGTACTATATATCCTGTAATTTTTGTGCATATTGGTGAGTTCTTTTTTGTTGACTTTGGCCGTATGACCAAAAATATCAAATTTTGAAACCCGCGTACAAACGATTTGAGAAGGCGTCATGGGTAGGCACTTTACCAAAAACTGCCATAGGGCCTTGCAAACGTGTCATTAAAAGATTAAAGAGAAAGGTGATGTACTTTGGGAGTTATTGGCCTTTAAGTCACGCAGTGTTAACATTAGCGAGATAGGCATTTGAATATCAATGTGGCCGCTGTACCAAAAACGCAGAAGTGTCATGAATAAGGACTACCACCATTCGATGGAGGTCACTTTGGACTTTATATCCTGTAATTTTTGTGCATATTGGTGAGTTCTTTTTTACGACTTTGACCGCATCACCAGAAATGTCATATTTTCAAAGCCGCGTACACAAGTTTTGAGAAGGCGTCATGAGTAGGCACTTAACCAGAAACTGCCACAGGGCATTGCAAACGTGCCACTAAAAGTTAAACAAGATCGGTGATGTACTTTTGGAGTTATACCAGTCCAAGTCAGTCACCGTTAACATTAGCGAGATAGGCATTTGAATATCAATGTGGCCGCTGTACCAAAAACGCAGAAGTGTCATGAATCGGGAGTACCACCATTCGATGGAGAATACTTTGGACTATATATCCTGTAATTTTTGTGCATATTGGTGAGTTCTTTTTGTTGACTTTGGCCGTATGACCAAAAATATCAAATTTTCAAACCCGCGTACAAAAGTTTTGAGAAAGCGTCATGGGTAGGCACTTCACCAAAAACTGCCACAGGGCATTGCAAACGTGCCACTAAAAGTTAAACAAGATCGGTGTTGTACTTTTGGAGTTATATCCATCTAAGTCAGTCAGCATTAACATTAGCGAGATAGGCATTTGAATATCAATGTGGCCGCTGTACCAAAAACGCAGAAGTGTCATGAATAGAGACTACCACCATTCGATGGAGGTCACTTTGGAATATATCCTGTAATTTTTGTGCATATTGGTGAGTTCTTTTTTGTTGACTTTGGCCGTATGACCAAAAATATCAAATTTTCAAACCCGCGTACAAAAGTTTTGAGAAGGCGTCATGGGTAGGCACTTGACCAAAAACTGCCACAGGGCATTGCAAACGTGCCACTAAAAGTTAAACAAGATCGGTGATGTACTTTTGGAGTTATATCCATCCAAGTCAGTCAGCATTAACATAAGCGAGATGGGCATTTGAATATCAATGTGGCCGCTGTACCAAAAACGCAGAAGTGTCATGAATAGAGACTACCACCATTCGATGGAGGTCACTTTGGACTATATATCCTGTAATTTTTGTGCATATTGGTGAGTTCTTTTTTGTTGACTTTGGCCATATGACCAAAAATATCAAATTTTGAAACCCGCGTACAAACGATTTGAGAAGGCGTCATGGGTAAACACTTGACCAAAAACTGCCATAGGGCCTTGCAAACGTGTCATTAAAAGATTAAAAAGAACGGTGATGTACTTTGGGAGTTATTGGCCTTTAATTCACGCAGTGTTAACATTAGCGAGATAGGCATTTGAATATCAATGTGGCCGCTGTACCAAAAACGCAGAAGTGTCATGAATAAGGACTACCACCATTCGATGGAGGTCACTTTGGACTATATATCCTGTAATTTTTGTGCATATTGGTGAGTTCTTTTTTATGACTTTAACCGCATCACAAAAAATGTCATATTTTCAAAGCCGCGTACACAAGTTTTGAGAAGGTGTCATGAGTAGGCACTTGACCAAAAACTGCCACAGGGCATTGCAAACGTGCCACTTAAAGTTAAACATGATCGGTGATGTACTTTTGGAGTTATACTAGTCCAAGTCAGTCACCGTTAACATTAGCGAGATAGGCATTTGAATATCAATGTGGCCGCTGTACCAAAAACGCAGAGGTGTCATGAATCGTGAGTACCACCATTCGATGGAGACTACTTTGGACTATTTATCCTGTAATTTTTGTGCATATTGGTGTGTTCTTTTTTGTTGACTTTGGCCGTATGACCAAAAATATCAAATTTTCAAAACTGCGTACAAAAGTTTTGAGAAGGCGTCATGGGTAGGCACTTGACCAAAAACTGCCACAGGGCATTGCAAACGTGCCACTAAAAGTTAAACAAGATCGGTGATGTACTTTTGGAGTTATACCCATCCAAGTCAGTCAGCGTTAACATTAGCGAGATAGGCATTTGAATATCAATGTGGCCGCTGTACCAAAAACGCAGAAGTGTCATGAATAGAGACTACCACCATTCGATGGAGGTCACTTTGGACTATATATCCTGTAATTTTTGTGCATATTGGTGAGTTCTTTTTTGTTGACTTTGGCCGTATGACCAAAAATATCAAATTTTCAAACCCGCGTACAAACGATTTGAGAAGGCGTCATGTGTAGGCACTTGACCAAAAACTGCCTTATGGCCTTGCAAACGTGTCATTAAAAGATTAAAGAGAACGGTGATGTTTTTTGGGAGTTATTGGCCTTTAAGTCAGGCAGTGTTAACATTAGCGAGATAGGCATTTGAATATAAATGTGGCCGCTGTACCAAAAACGCAGAAGTGTCATGAATAGAGACTACCACCATTCGATGGAGGTCACTTTGGACTATATATCCTGTAATTTTTGTGCATATTGGTGAGTTCTTTTTTATGACTTTGACCGCATCACCAAAAATGTCATATTTTCAAAGCCGCGTACACAAGTTTTGAGAAGGCGTCATGGGTAGGCATTTGACCAAAAACTGCTTGAGGGCCTTGCAAACGTGTCACCAAAAGATGAAAGAGAACGATGATGTACTTCGGGAGTTATTGGCCTTTAAGTCAGGCAGTGTTAACATTAGCGAGATAGGCATTTGAATATCAATGTGGCCGCTGTACCAAAAACGCAGAAGTGTCATGAATCGTGAGTACCACCATTCGATGGAGACTACTTTGGACTATATATCCTGTAATTTTTGTGCATATTAGTGAGTTCTTTTTTGTTGACTTTGGCCGTATGACCAAAAATATCAAATTTTCAAACCCGCGTACAGAAGTTTTGAGAAGGCGTCATGGGTAGGCACTTGATCAAAAACTGCCACAGGGCATTGCAAAGGTGCCACTAAAAGTTAAACAAGATCAGTGATGTACTTTTGGAGTTATACCCATCCAAGTCAGTCAGCGTTAACATTAGCGAGATAGGCATTTGAATATCAATGTGGCCGCTGTACCAAAAACGCAGAAGTGTCATGAATAGAGACTACCACCATTCAATGGAGGTCACTTTGGACTATATATCCTGTAATTTTTGTGCATATTAGTGAGTTCTTTTTTGTTGACTTTGGCCGTATGACCAAAAATATCAAATTTTCAAACCCGCGTACAAACGATTTGAGAAGGCGTCATGGGTAGCCACTTGCCCAAAAACTGCCTTAGGGCCTTGCAAACGTGTCATTAAAAGATGAAAGAGAACGGTGATGTACTTTGGGAGTTATTGGCCTTTAAGTCAGGCACTGTTAACATTACCGAGATAGGCATTTGAATATCAATGTGGCCGCTGTACCAAAAACGCAGAAGTGTCATGAATAGAGACTACCACCAATCGATGGAGGTCACTTTTGACTATATATCCTGTAATTTTTGTGCATATTGGTGAGTTCTTTTTTTATGACTTTAACCGCATCACCAAAAATGTCATATTTTCAAAGCCGCGTACACAAGTTTTGAGAAGGCGTCATGGGTAGGCATTTAACCAAAAACTGCCCCAGGGCCTTGCAAACGTGTCACCAAAAGATGAAAGAGAACGGTGATGTACTTTGGGAGTTATTGGCCTTTAAGTCAGGCAGTGTTAACATTAGCGAGATAGGCATTTGAAAATAAAAATGGCCCCTGTACCAAAAACGCAGAAGTGTCATGAATAGCGACTACCACCATTCGATGGAGGCTGCTTTGTACTATATATCCTGTAATTTTGGTGTATATTGGTGAGTTTTTTTGATGACCTGCCACTATATGACCTTGAATGACCTTCAAAAGGAAAACAGGTATATCTCGTAAACTATTGAGTGTCATGTATTGGGATATATATTTTCAGAATCAGGGCTTTCCTGGCTACACGATGGTAGCCAAAACTTTGCATTTGGTGAGTTTTTTTGAATGTGCATTTGAAAGTGTATCTGAATATCATAGCACTTGATGCACGTACAGATTGATTGAAGGCTGGTCACTCAGCGTTCGTGACATTAATGGCCCCATTCGGCTGTTACAATCTTTAACGTTTTACACCCATCTTATGGGTTCAGTTTGACATCTTACTGTGTTTCAGATGCATTTGTAATTAACGATATGTTTTGTCTTGTTTCCAGACCATGGCTCCATCTAATTCCAATGATTACCCATTATATTTACCTCTAATATGAGTTGGTTTAGTTCAAGATATTTTACCATCGGGTAATAATTTTCAAGAGAAATGGCTGAAGCAAGTTCGGGGCAAGATTTACATGTTCTCCGTGCCAACACTGGAATGGCCAAAGAAAATGACGTCGCGCCCCTGGACCCAACAATTAGCAGCGCTGATGTTTACAGAATGTGTAAAAAGATTGCACAACTGACAAAGGTAAGTGACAAGTGTTATTGTGCAATGTGTAGTCTTTATTTCTCTCTGGCATATCCAGCCAGCAGTGCATTTCGACACAAACTTTTGGGGTATGGTTCCTGATATAAATGTCAAAACACTTAAATTTGATAAAAGTGAACCTGTTTTATGCTCATTGAGATAAGCATGCACTTATTTATGGGACACACTTTCGTCGGTGATTTCACATTTCTATGCTTTCAGGTAATATATAATCTGAATGTGAAGAACGACGAACTGGAAATTTACCAAACTCGCATGCAGCATGACTACGAAAAGAAGATGTGGAAGCTCACTGCTGATGTGCAGCAGCACGTCAGCAACGCTGCCTCCCTGGTAAGTGGATCAAGGCTCAAAGCCTGTGCTTTACCCACCCACGATTATGATGTGTCTTGTGCTGATATCGTTATATCGTGTGCTCGCATCACTGAACTCTATAATATGGCCCACATTGAAAAGTTCCCATTTGCCTCGACAGATGCGCACCGAGTCGACTCGCTCGGCTGAAATGTCTCAGCTGCGGGCCCATCTGGACGAACAGATGGCGCTGTCTAATAGCCTTGCTGAGGAGCTCAAACGGACCAAGCAACAGTAAGTCCAGTGCTTGAATAGACTCAGTGTGTTAGTACTATATCAGATAAGAACGGACATAGTTCGATGATTTAGTGTTTTGTCGCACTTATAAACTTTGCAGGCTTCTTTGTCATTACCACGATAAAGTCGTAAGTCTGTGTTTGACTGCCCATCTCTGCCTTTGTGTGTATTTCCCAGACACGAAGCGGAGCTGTCTGCCGCCGCCGAGGAGTCGGAGCGGCGGCTGGCGGCGCAGCGGGCGGCGCTGGCCGAGGCCGAGGAGGTGCAGCGCTCGCAGTCGGACAGGCTGACGGAGGTGGAGACGGAGCTGGCGGCCGAGCGGGCGGCGCTGCTCCGGAGCGGCCAGCAGAGGGACGCCCTCCAGCAGAACGTGCTGCGACTGGAGCGTCAGCTGCGGGAGGAGGCCGACCGGGCGCAGACGTGGCGCGCAGAGAGCGAGCGCGCCGCTGCCGAAAGCGAGAGGACGGCGGAGGAGGCGGCAATGCTCAGGTGGGTGTGGGCCCGGGCGGTTAACTGGTGGATTGTGGGATTGTGCTATACCACATTGTCAGTTTGACGGAAATGGTAGGTAGTTCAGGTCTAATGGTGATAAATCAGCAACCATTCCAATTTATGGTTAGCATTTTATCGGTTTATTTGGCCGTCTTTTGCATGCGCTTTGTTTGCTTTTGTTTTATGAGCGTTTCCCTCATTCCACGTGTATTGCTGATTCAAGGTCGGCATTCGGACGTGCGCTATGCTGCTGCTACCCGTCTCCACTGGCCGGTCTCACTGGTTGATGCGACTTCTGACATGTCTCTCTCCGTGTCACCAGGCGGGAGCTGGCGTCTGAGCAGCAGCGGTTGGAGCAGCTGCGGTCCGAGCTGAACGAACGCCAGCGGCAGTTGGAGGAGACGCTCTCCCGGGAGCAGGCGCTCGGCGCCCGGCTGACGGAGCGGCAGCAGGAACTGGACCGGCTGACCTCTGAACTGTCCGCCTCGGTGGCCGAGCTGCGGGACCGGGACGGACGGCTGGAGCTGCAGGAGGGCCGGCTGCGCGACCAGGACGCCCGGCTGGTCACGCTGACGGAGCACCTGCAGAGCCGCTGCGAGCAGCTGCACAGCGCGCAGGCGCAGCTGGAGGCGGCCCGACAGCAGGCGCGCCAGCAGACCGCCGAGACGGAGCGGCTGACTGAGCGACTTCAGACACTGCAGACCGAGGGCGCCGCCGCGCGCAGCCGCGCCGACCAGCTCTCCCAGCTGCTCATCGCCAGGGACGGTGGGTTCAGCTTGTTACAGGGTTATTTTGTTTTTGTTTTCTATGCTAATAGGTAACATGATTTACTATTAGTCACCATTTCATCTGCTGGGTGTGGGTGATGTATTCTCTTTTATTAAGCGGTTATTTCACACTAGAGTTTTGAAACTTGAAGAGCATGGGATCGGACGTTATTTTATGTCCTTGACTATTTTCCGTTAACGCTCGGCCTGTCCCTCTCACCCCTGACCATGCGCCTCCTCCCTGGCAGCCACCATCAGCCAGCTGGAGTCTGATCTGGCCGCTGCCGAGTCTGCCGCCGCTGAGGCCAGGGCCGCCGCCGAGTCTGCCGCTGCCGCGTCCGAGGCCAATCCTGCGGGGACTGAGACCGAGTCGGCCACAGCAGACCTACAGACGGAACTGGAGCAGACCCAGCGCCTGCTGGAGGAGTGTCGGAGCGAGCTGGAGGAGGCGCGGCAGCAGCTGGAGGAGTTGGAGACGCAGCGGGAGGAGCAGTCGCAACTGATGCAGGCCGTGAGAACTGACAGATATCTGAGGGGTGGTGGAGTATTCAAGACAGGAAACTGGGACCACCGCTCGGCTGAAGTGGGTCACAATGTTTGATTGAAGATGCGAGAATACCAGAAAAGAATTATAGTTCAATACAGTGTCGTTTCTTGTTTTACCAATTGTTCCATGCATTAATTTTCACCTGAAGTTTACGTTTTACATTGACACTGCTATCAAGCTTCGCTGATTTTTTTCAAACATGGCCTGACTTTGATGCTTGATCACTTACCCTGTCATGGGGTCGCCCTTGACGACAGTGATATAACCGTGTTTTGTTTACAGGCGCTGGAGGAGAGCGCCTCTCTCGAGTCCGACTGCCGCCGCCGGGTGGAGGCCCTGCAGACGGTGACTGCCGAGCGCGAGCAGCAGCTGATGGACGACGCTGAGACCCGGCTCAGGGAGGTGCGCCGAGACTGCAAACGCAAACTGGACGAGCAGCAGCGCGCGGCAGAGGTGAGAGTCTGAGCGCCGCGGCTGGAACGGGCAGGGGATGGGTAGATGGGGAGTTCAGTGCGCTGTTGCTAACTAGCTGACTTCGAATGACGAGTAAGCCTGTTCGGGGCCAAGTTCGCTGTTGGCTGCTGTATTAAGTATCAGCGTTTGCAGCAGTTAGCAGTCGTGGTTATGCATTGTTGCCAAGTTGAATAATGGACAGAAGATGTAGACGTCGTGTCGTTTCACGACTGACCGTCCGTTTTCTGGTTCGTTCAGGAGCGCCTGGCCAACATGCGTCACACGGTGGAGGCTGAGCTGGCGGCCCAGAGAGAGGAGCTCGACCAGCGCAGCGCCAGCGTCGACAGGAAGCTGGCTGAGGTGAGGTGAACGCTGCCGACATCGGCAGTGGGGTAGCGAGATGTGGGGCAGACGGTTCATGGCATGGCGACTCCGTCACCACCGATGTACGGTAGTATGCTAAAGTTCTTCCTCACTTGGCATCGTTTTTCTGTTCACTTGTGCAGTTGAATGCCACTGTCACATGCCACATTTAGAGGAAACGTTCTTTAGGTGAAGAGAATACGCATAATTTTTGTTGATTTTTATTCCAATGTTTTTTTTTTAGTGGAGCTGTCTGTGTAATTATGGCCATTTTCCCCGCAGATGGAGTCTCTCCGTTCGTTTGAGGCGGAGGTGGTGCAGCTGCGAGGCCTCACTCACGAGCTGATGCGTGAGCTGCGCGTGGGCACGCGCCAGGTGGAGCTGTGTCGAACACAGGAGGCGCGCACGGCAGAGGAGAACCGGCGGCTCACTGAACTGGTCAACAAACACAATAGCACGGTGGCCAGTGTACAAAAGGTATGCTGACTTCCGCACTGCTCTTTTTTCGACATGAGATGTTTGGTTATGAAAGCAAAAGGCATAAAACTCGTCGAAACTTACCCGCCCTGTGTCTCTGCAGGAGCAGCAACAGCTGCGACTGCAGCTGGAGCAGCAGCTGCGGCTGCAGGCTGAACAGGAGCGCGCCGCCCTGGACGCCCAGTGGGAGGACCGGCTGCGAGAGGAGCGGCGCACGCTCAAGGCCGAGCTCGACTGTCTGCACTCGGAGGAGAAGCACCTGGCCGTCGAGTCGATGCGGCTGGGTCGGGAGCAGCGGCTACAGGAGGCCGAGCAGTGCGCCCGGCAGCTGCAGCGGCAGGTCAGTCGAGTGCCCGTCGGTAGAAGGTAGATCCTGTTACAGGTAACATATTGATGTCTTTATTTTAGGCGTATCCAGCATAGATAGTTTATGTTTATCGGGATGTTAAGACATTGTAGGTATGAAAATGAACGTGTGTAGCGTTGTTTTTGCCTTTTAGCCGGCTGGTGACCATCTGTCTCTCCCTGGCCCTCAGCTGGAGTGTGCCGCTGATGAGCTGAGAGAGCAGCAGAACCGCCACGAGATGGAGCTGGAGGAGCGGGAGCGAGAGGCGGAGACGGTGATCGCCAACCTGCACCGTCAGCTGCAGGCGGCCACCGCCACCTCCGGAACGGAGAAAACAACAGGTCAGACGTCGGGCCTCGCTTTCCGCCGCGATTGTTTTTGGACGCTTCCCGTCAGTTGACTTTATGTACTTCGTAAATCTAAGAATATTTTTTCTTCTTCCAGGCGTCCGACTCTGAAAGGGCCCGCTCTTTCTCATTTTGCCAGATGTATCCCGCATTATTCACCCAGTTGTGAGGCTAGCTGTACACAGTTTGATAATTCACTCCTCTGCCCCTGTCTACAGGGCTGGTGGCGGTGAACGGCGGTGTAGGGGATGCGAACGGGAACGGCAGCGCCGCACAGACGCCGTCACTCGGCCGATCGCCGGACGGCAGTGATGACGAGGATGGTGGCGGCGACGCCCGATCCCGGATCGGTAAGTGTTGAATGGGGCTCGGCATCGGCAGGTTGAATTCAGAGTGAGACGCGGAAAAACAACGCAAAGAGCGGCACAACGTAGCAGCGAAAATGTCAATGTGGGAAATATGATAAAACGTCACGAATAATTATGCGTGTCATAATATGGCCATGGCAACGTAGGGTGTAGTGCAAGAAAGGCGTGAATCGGTCACAAAGCAGTCGAGTAACTGTGGGTCCAGATTTACAGACTAAATACCGGATGAAGAGAGTAGATGTTCGGAATGTTTTAGCGGGACACTGAGAGAAGGGGGACCGGGCAGTGTGGGGCTGGATAGCTTCACAAAACGGTGTGTGACTGACTGGTCCGTTCCCCGCGGTCAGAGCACGCGCTGCGGCACCGTCCGCCGCTGCGGGCCGCGCTGTCAGCGCTGCTGGCGGAGCGGGACCGGCAGCTGGCGCTGCTGCAGCACCAGCTCAGCGCCGCCGGCGAGCAGCACCGCTCGGAGCTGGCCGAGCGGGCGGCGGCGGCCGACCGGCGCGCCGAGCTGCTCCGCCAGCAGCTGTCGGACGCCGCCGACCGCGCCGAGCAGCTGCAGCGGCAGCTGGCGGCGGCGCACGGGCGCGCCGACCAGCTAACCGGCGAGGTGGCCGAGCTGAGACGGGAGCACGAGCAGCTGGCTGAGCGGGCGGCTGAGAGCGACCGCCAGCACCTCAGGTGGGTCCGGCCTTCACTGACATACGGTTTACTCGTCACCTTCTGTGGTAGATAAGAGTACGTAGCTATTTAGTTGCCGTTCCATAGATCGCGCTGTAATGATTGTGTGCGACCATAGTCTAACCTTTTGCTTATTGATCCTGCTTAGTTAATTCATATGGTTACCTGATATTAATCTAGCTTGCTATGAAATATGTGGAAATGATGTTGGCAGTTAGCCTAGTTAACCCGTAGTTGACCTGTATCGTTCCGTTTCTCTTCCAAACGGTCTCCCTCCTCCACCGTTCCCGACACTGCGTTCCTGTTCCCGATGCTCGCGTTTCTGTCCCCACCACCGGCCACCCCGAAGCTTTCCATCGGTGATTTATCTCCTCCCTCGCTGCATGACAACCCCTCGTGCCCGACCTCCGACCGCTCCCAGTCATGTATCTAACCTCCCTATCCTGGCTGGGGCGGCAGTGAGCTGGAGTCGGTACGAGCCCAGTGTCGGCTCCAGGTGGACAGTATGCAGCAGCGTCTGTCCGGCCGGCTGGCGCGGCTGCAGGCCGCCGGCCGCGCCGCCGCGGACCGGATCGCCAACCTGGAGAGACTGTAAGGACAGCTTTATGTTCCTTCTTCCTCCTCTATCACACTGAAGAGTTTAACGTGCGAAGCTTCTCTCTGCTTCCTGAGAACTTGGTTGATAACGCTCTTTTTGCAATATGAATGGTCTCTTTTATTACCGTACGAGTTCGATGTTTAGTTTACGATCCTGGTGCAGCTATGGAGAAACACTTTGGTATAAAGTACAATGATAGGGTGATGGCACAATGCACATGTTTAACGTTCATCATTGAAGTAAATGGCCTGACCTGGCCTTATTGAACCGATTGGTAAACTGAGCGATCTGAAGCCACTATCCGTAGTACACTTTAAAAATAAGTTATCAGGCGTAGGCCTGATTGTCTTGGGGTCAATGTCACGCGTGTCCCTGTCTGAACCCGCCGCTGTCTGTCCTGTCGTATGAGCTCACTTCTTATGGTCTTTATGCCTGAACGATTTGTGTTGCAGACGTCGTATTCAGCTGTTGTCGTTGCCGTTTTATGGTCTACATTCCGCGCCGTTGCCTGATCCCTCTGCCCGTGTTTCTCGTGTTCTGACTCCGGTGTGCGCGTGTGCCGGCAGTGCAGCGGAGGCGGCCGACCGGCAGCGTCCTGAGGACGCCGCCACCATCCTCCGGCTGCAGGAGGCGCTCCACCACACCGAACTGCAGATGGACGCGCTCCGCCGCGAGAAGCAGCAGATCGGCCTCGAGCTGGCCAACCGGGACGCCAGCTACAGCCGTCTGTTCCCCACGGGCGCGCCGCGCGTCGGCGTCATCGATCCCACGGCGGCCAGCGGCGGCGGCGGCGGCCGGGCCCCGCCGCCGGCGCCGCCGGCGCCGCCGGCCCGCCAGCAGCGCCGGCCGGCCGGCCGGCCGGGCAGGCGCTGACACCCGGCCCGTGCCGCCGCCGGGCTCCGTACTGCCCTCTGTCGTCTGTGGTACATGGTCCGCGGGTATAACAGAGTCTAGTCCTCAGCTGTGAACTGCCGCCCTGTTACTTGTTGTAGCTCACTAAATTGTTGCAAGTCTTTCCCGTCGCAAAGAGGTGGTAGCTTTTCACTTGTATATAGTGAAACTGGTATCTTGAAGCTCGAGGGAACTGGTATCGAAGAGTAGAAACAAAGCCAAAACCTTGTTGCTAGTCATTGGAAGGTAGAAAATGAGTTGCAGTAAACTATATATTATAACATTTGTTGCCTTTTAAATGCTGGTTTGTGCTGTTCTCTGTTAGCAACTAGGCAATGAATCGTTGTTATTATGAACTCAGGACTCAAATGTAATTCGAATATGCTGATCTTGTGAGCTAAAACAGCGCTTAGTGCCTCGCACACGAACATTATGGTGCCTTACTTTGGTCGTTGCTGTGCCTCTAACAATAAATAAATGAAAAGTAAAAACAGCCGTGGGTTATGGTTGTTGTTTATTATTGTTTTGTGAGTGTTGTGCATAGCTTTTTCGTTCGTCGCGGGAATTAGGAAGACCTTGGGAAGACCCCAATCGGTTGCCATGACAACGATCGATACGAAACAACGCTTGTAATTCTGCGAGACTGGAGGCCAGCGCGGCCAGCGTGGGTCGCTAGGACCGTTGGATTTTGTATTACGGAGTGAGCGCGTGCGGCGTGTGGGCCTTGGCGGTGCACGGATCATCGTGGCTCAAAGCAGTAGCACTTCTATGTAAACGACTTCAGTCTCACCGTGGTTGTGCCCCCTTCCACGGGTGTTTTCATAGGAATGCCTAACGTCCTGAATCCTTTCATGTGATTTATCGAAGTTGTATCTCTTTTAATTTGGCATCGCTCAATAACAATATGCGTTGCGTGCTATCGTGACTGGCAGAGCAAAGACAGTTTGAAGATAGCCATTTCACCCGGCAAATAAATGATCAACGATGGCCACACCATCCAATGAACATAGGACAGAAATGTAAGTTTCATGCCGTTATTAGCAAATTTGAAGATAGCATGTTTGGTTCGTCAGTTTCTATTACTTAGTGAACGTTTGAGACGATGCGTTTCATTGCCGCTGCTGATTGATCTGTCCTCCGTGTCACCAGGGGCCCATGCGAGCAGCGCGGCTCTGGTGACAACGAGACCACCAACGAGGTCTCGCTGCCGTGCATCGAGTCGGAGCGGATCCTGAACGCGCTGGACGAGCTGCTGGTGAAGCTGCGCACGGTGCTGCGGCTGCCGCTGGTCTGGGCGCAGCTGGTGGATGAGTGCGGCCACCACGTGGCCGAGCCGCTGGCGCACGCGGCCGCCGTCTACCTGCAGCTACGCCAGCAGTTCCACGAGGACGCCGAGCGGCTGCGCGCCAGCGTGCCGCCGCCCAGCTCCAGCCACAGCCTGGAGACGTTCGACGTGACGGATACGGCGGCCGCCGAGCCGACCGAGACGGCCGTGCCGCTGGCGCCCAGTAACGGCCTGCTGGGCACGCCGGGCGCCGACCCGCGCTGTGTGGCCGCCCTGGCCGACACCATCGAACAGCTGGCGGCGGCCAGCCGGCGGCTGGTGCGCCAGTGGCGACACCACGCCGCCTCCGCCGGCCTGGACGGGCCGCTGGCCGGCCCCGCCTCACCGCCGGCCCAGCAGTTCCTCCGGCAGATGGCCTTTCTCCGCCGCCAGGTGGGTGGATGGATTCAATGGCACGCTTCGGGGTGCGTGCTCGGTGACTGGCCAGTCATTTCTGGCGATTGGAAATACGAGGGTTACGTTGGGCTTACTTGCAGGCTGTTTTCGCGGTCTCCTTCGTTCGCTCGAAAGTACCAGTCCCGCCCCTTGACCCGTCCGTCCAGATGTACCTGCGCCTGGTGACCACGCCCGACCAGGAGGCCAGTCGCACCGAGCGTCTGAGAGAGATCTGGCGGCGCGACAACCACAACCGGCAGTTGCTGGACATGCTGCAGACCCGGCTGGACGGCCTGCTGCAGCAGCGCGATGACGACCGGCGAATCAAGAACGCCGTCATCGACAAACTGGAGGGCAACATCGCCGGCGTCGAGCGCAAGTCCACTGAGGACGTCGCCAACGTCATGTGAGTTGGAGCGTGAGGGGAGATTGGAGAGAGGATGTAAAAAGCGGTGGGGGATAAAGGCGGATGGAGAGAATAACGGGTGTGCACTTAGTTTCTGGAAAAAGATTGATCATCCGTATCTTTAAAACTATTAAAGCTATCAATACAAACTTTCGTATAGTTAATAATTACTCATTTGGGAATGAGCATGCCAAAATGCAGACCAAACCGACAATTTTTTCATACAGAAAGGTGCTTACAACCAAGTCATGAACGCGGAAAAGAGTGGCGGAATTTTCACAAAATTAACAAAAATTCCAGAGAAACAACTTCTCTTCCCACTGGCGCTTTCTGGGTATTGCTAGAAAGAGAGCTTGTGCCATTAGAGGAACGGCACAAGCACGGGGAAGTGCGTGGCACATGCACAGTGTGCAGGTGTGTTTATTCGTGGCGAAAGTGCCCCAGCAGAAGAGGCTCGTTCTGGTAAAAGGTATTCACCATCTTGTGAGTGTTCCCGATACGCTTCCCGTCCTCCCGTTTTCCATGCTTGTAAGAAAAATTTTAAATTGTGATATTGTATACCAAAAAGGGTAGAGATACCATGATCCAGCACTCGGCAGCCGATAAAAGCAGCAGAGGAGCAATGAGACATGGATCTGTAAGTTATCACGATAAATGCTGAGTGCACAGACGAATCAAGCAATCACCTGTGGATGCTGGAATTAGATCGCCTAAAAGGGAAATTTTGTGTAATGAAGATGGGGTAAAACACCACCTCCAGAAGCAGGCGCTCACAAAATGTGGAACCTTAGCCTGCTGACCACTTTCGACGCAATCTCCTGGTCAGTGGACCGCCATATCCCCACGTGCGGTATCCAATCATTATGTTAGCCCTATGTAGCCAATGCATACGTTGATATCTTTTGACAGCAGTGCTTAAATAAATAAATTTTGTCACATTGGGAACATCACTACCCGAGGAAAGTATAGGTGTCATGATCACACCACAATGCAGTCACTGTGCGCGCGGAGCGCTGGATCTACGGGACGGCGCACATGTACCGTTTGTGAGCCGCGAAGATAATCTTCTTGGCATATCTCAACGGCGACCGAATGGGGACTTATGAGGACAATGTAGTACTAAGGAAGATGTTAAGTGCATATTAGCGCCTATTTGAAGTCCATAACCCGCTAGCCATCGCCACACCTGGACCCGGAGGTGCCGCGCAATTTCAACAGGGGGCGTCTGTATAGCACGTGGGCTGTAGACCGCCTGGGAGGAGAGAGCGCCTAATTCTTTTGACAACTCTTAACTATTGTTACAATTTATATATGTGCCAAATATCATCTTAATCTAAGTTCAAACACTAAAGTTAGGTATGGCAGCACAAACTTTTTCCGGAAACTAAGTGCACACCCGTTATTAGGTTTCTGGATTTTACATCCTTTTTCTGGAATCAATAACTGACTATCTGTCACATTTATAATCTGCCTGACTAGTTCGTTGACACGTCTGTACGCGGGCTTATTGGTGAGCTTGTATGTCCCCCTGTGGATCTATATAGATGTATCTTGTTTATTCGTATCGTAACCATGTTCATATACTGCAGCGCTGAGGCCGAGGGAGACATCACAGCAGCGCGTGCGGCCTACCAGATGGAACGTGAGCGACTCAAGGTCATCTACGAAAAGAACATGGCCGGACTGCAGGAGCTGCGCGTCAGTAACAGAAAGGCCGAGGCCGCGCTCAAAAAACGGAAGTGAGTAGCGGGAGACTGAGAGCGGAGCGGTACTATAGGAACATCGGGTCGTCAGTATCGTGGGTAGCGTGTTGTGACTTGTGAGATCACGTATTAAAAGTCTGGTTTCATTTGCATTAGATCTCGACACGCTCAATGTCGTTCCAGGGTTGAAGTGCATCATTGCGCCCCTTTTTACCGATAGGTTTCCAGTCATAGATTAATACTTATTGCCACTACTATCTACCACTATCCGGCTTTAATTGAAATGTTTTCGATGTTTTTATGCGCACATTGCTCTCAAAACTACTAAAGATATCGTACTTATTTTTCCACTGAAGAAGTGGCATCGTCGTTCCTTACAATCAGTGACAGCTGACTGGTTTCTCATGCATATTTCAGGTACAAAATTGAGTCTGAGCTGGAAAACTGGTTGCAAAAATACGATGCCGAAATGATGGAGAAAACTGAAGAAATCGAAGGCTTGCAGGCCGAGTTTGAAAAGGAGACCGCTGAGCGCGAAGAATATGACGTAAGACTGAGGATCGTTTTATAGGAAATGAGACCTTATATGTGGACTCTTTTGTAAACACCGAATTGTATGAAGTAAGCAAAGGATGTTCAGTCACTGCAATAAAAAAAGCTAAACATCTGAGTGTAACTATATGCGGCTCACTGCATTATATTAGCACAGCTAACGTGCTCACTGTCCTGATATTTGGCAGGCAAAAGTGGAAGCGATAAGAGATCGATATGATTCGATCATTTTGAAGCGAGAACGGCGAGAGGAGCAGCGCATCTTTGAAGAGCAGTTGGCCATCAAGAAAGCCGCTGCAGCCCTGTACATTCAGGTGAGTGTGGTCGGCAGAACGTTACGCTCCGTAGTGTGCCTTATTGAGTTGGCGAAGTGTGGTATTTAACCCGCGCCGGGCCGGGGGGGGGGTGTTTGAACACCCCCCTGCGGTTTTCGCAGATATCTCAAAAACGGCGGCGCGGAGCGCCGCCGTTTTTGGCACACCTGTTCGTGCATCTTTTCCGCACATGTTGTGAAAATTTCAGACCAAGGTCACCTTAGGTCAGGTCACCAGGTCACGCCAAGTGACCTCACCTCAGAAAAAATAAGAATGCTCGTCATAGCTACACCGAGTGATCGATTGCCTTGAAACTTTCAGCGACTGATAAGAGCAACATTATCTATAAAATGTATATCTTGGAATTTTGATATCGGTGACCTAAGGTCAGGTCAATTTTGCGACCCCTCCATTATAAGTCAATGGGAGAAAATTGAAAAGCGTCTGTTTTGCACGAACGCTATTCTAGACACTCTCAAACATCGAGATGTAGGTAAAATGGACACACTGAACCGGAAAATGGCAACTGTGACCCCTCGTTATGTCCCCGAGGTCATCTCAGGTCACGAACAGAATCTAACAGTTTTTCGCTAATAACTTCTGATAGAGACGTGCTAGAGCGCTGAAAACGCCTTAGATGTGTTCGGCTCGACGTTGCGGATCGACTGATATGCAACATGACCTTTTCCGGTCAGGTCATGACCTTGACCTGAGGTCAAATTTTCAAGTTGACCTTTCAAGGTCAAATTATAGTTCATTCGACGCGTCTCGACGAGAGGAACACGATGGTGGCAAAAGTAATGTCGTGGTTTATTTGAGTCAAAAGTTATTGCCGAAAAAACGTTTTTCGTAAAAACGGCTATTTTTGGAGTTTTTGCCCTCTGGAGGCTAAACCATTGACCTGAGGTCAAATCTGAGAACATTATTCAGAAAGGTCTGTAAAAGGGCTATCGAATGCGCTTTTCCGCAGCGCTGTGGCTCTATCGGTTCCCGAGATAGCCGTTGGCAGTTTCCAAAATGTTGAAATAGTGGACATTTGACCTTTGGTAACGTCTGGTGACCTGACCTTTGACCTGACCCAAAAAATGACCGAAGTGTTTTCGTCCTTATTTTGGACGTTCTTTCGATTGCCGCTTACTGCATGTCGCTAAGTGGCCCAGGAGCCGAGTTAGAAGGGGGGGGGGGTGTTCAGACACCCCCCCCCCCCGGCCCGGCGCGGAATCTCAGAGCACCGGCCCGGCGCGGGTTAAAATCATGGAAAATATTGTGCAAAATACGTTGCGAATTTCTCATGATAACGACGTCTTTTTTACGTGTTGTGATGATTTTGCGTTGTTGTGTTTACCTCTATGGTGATATTTAATGTAGTTACTACTTACTTGTTATCGGACACAGTTAAACGATTTTTTGCCATCGCAATTTAGAAGTCAGTCAAGATTCAGCATACAAATTTATAGCTGTTAGATAGAATTTTATAGCTGTTAGATATTAAGGTCCTGTATTCTGTATCACAGAAAGGGTTTATAATTGCCCAACGCCGAATGCATTTTAATGCCTCGCCCTCGTATGACATCTTGTATTGTTCTCAGTTCTACCTGCAGCGATTCAATTTGCTTAGCATGCAGCTGATCGCCCATTCTCGTATTCCTCGGATTCTGAGCTGAACTCCCTCTCGCATTGTAGGCATTTTGGCGTGGCTACCGCGTCAGAAAACGACTCAAGAAGGGAAAGAAAGGCAAGGGCAAGAAAGGCAAGAAGGGTGGTGGCAAGAAAGGTGGAAAAAGTCCTAAAGGAAAGAAAGGGAAGAAGAAGTGATGCTGTCAAAGTAGCTCAAGCTCGGACTGTGGTTTGCAATATACGGATGAGAGATGAGCTGTGTGTTTGATGTCGGGCGGAGTGGCACTGGTGGGACAGCGGCCGACTTACGGCACCACACAGTTTCGCATGTCGCAGAAATCCGGCTGATGGGCGCCCACGCCTGCTTCAACTTGATCATTAGATGGCGCGGCAGGGTGGCGGCTTGAAGCTGAGATCATTTGAATCGCCACAAGGCACCATTCATCCGGTAAACATTACATGGTTGATGGTAATGCTAGCTAGTAGCTACTAAACTACGCTAGTGAGGTGTCAGGTGTGTACGTGCATGCAACTGAAACGGAAGAACAGAGGGCTCTCGCTTGCATGCGGCACGCTGGAGACTGACCCCGCATTTTTTGTCGACATTCTTGGATCACTTGTCTCCCCTATAGTAGACTTGCGTCACCTATGGTTCCCTTGGTTCTTCCCAAAGGTCAAGGCCCTGAAAACAGTTCTTCCCTACCTGTCTCATGTGACGTCATGTGACGGGAGGTTTAAGACTGCTACAATATTGATTGCCCTCATTAACCCGGTTTACATAGCATATTTGACGAGGCTCTAGCTCGTTAATTTGGCGATAATTTTGTTGCAGTGGTCTTTAAATATTTAGAGGGGATCATTTTGTAAATTGTTAAGCACCATTGGCATCTTTTGCAACATCACGGACGGAGATATAAGCTTGCAACAAACCCTATGTAAACGCGTCTATTGTCCGGTCATTATCCATTTGAGCTTTATTATACGGCGTTGAGCGTTTTCAAGGCCCTATATGACTTATGAGCGTAATGGGATTGTGCTGTGCAATGAAACGGCGAAGTGAAACTTTAGTGTGCAGGGTGTGCAGTTTCCTTCATCGAGAGAACGGAAGATTGCTGCCATATGCTGCCTGAAAGGACGGCGCTTATGGCGTGAAGAGGCGAACTGCGCCATGTGAATCTCGATGGGCTTGTTTTATTTTCATTTGCACAATAATACAAATTATTCGCGAATCAGATAATGAATTTACCCTTAAGCTTTTTTGAAATCTAACTAATCTAACTCAAGAGGCATTTCAGTTTTTGCCCGGTGAGTTGGTGCCTGGTGGCGTAGGCAAACCATTATGCTCGGCTGTTACGATGGGTCTCACGTGGTGCAATAGCAGGACGAGAGTCGATATAAGGGGCTCTAGTATTAACTGGATTATTTGCCAGCTGGCGCCGTATGGTGGCGCTAGCAGTGCTTCTTACATGTTTAGGCTTAGATATAAAAGAATGAATATCTACCTATCAATTTTTCATTTAAAGCCATTCAAGATATTTATGTCCAACCTAATACCTCGCTTATATCTATATTTAAATACCTATCGTACGTCGCCAGCTGGCCAGCCAGCTGCCGCAATCCAGTTTTTACCGAAGCCCGATATAAGAACAACAATACCTATCATTTGAAATGTCTTGAGAAAGTAAATTCCTGATGACAACACATGTGTCTGTCAGTGTCTGTACCAGTGTACTTAACAGGTTTAGTGCTACCAGGAATACTTACCAGGAATAAGTATTAAAAGGTAGGTATGCTGCAGCATGCTGCGCTCAGCAATGTATCAGTTTTGGGTATTCATTCATATTTCATTGAAACATCAACAAACTTTGGTGCTCACAACATTGAAGTGTCAAGCCAAATTTGTCTCAAACCAAACGCTGCACCAATATAGCAGTGCAGTGCAATGCAGTGTTGGGCCATGAAACATGGCCATGTTTTCTAACAAAAATTGCTTGCTGCCATTGTATTTATATATTTGAATAGCTTCAATCAAGCATAACCACATAAAAAGGGTATTAGTATATATTAGGTCCGAGTGGACAATTGTGACGCTGTTGATACAAATATGTAACAGCAAAAAATTTAGGATTTAGGTTAGGTTAGGTTGTAGGTTTGTAGGTTTTAGGTTAGGTTAGGTTGTAGGTTTGTAGGTTCTAGGTTTTAGGTTGGTAGGTTTTAGGTTGTAGGTTGTAGGTTTGTAGGTAAATAGGTAAGGTTAGGTCAGGTTTGATTATGTTTTCCTTTTATTTCCAAGATATATAAGTATCATTTTTGGATTCAGGATGTCAAATAATGTAAGAATATGAAAACTTTATCTTAAACAGTCACTCAGACTCAATGTATACTTTTACCATAAAAAGTAGGCAACTACTGAATGAATATTGACATCAGTAAGTTCTCAGAATTCATATGTTTTCTATCAGCTATTTTTTCTGGCTTTCAAAATTAATGGGTGACTAGACTGAAAATAAACACAGTCAATATTTTGTCAGTAAAACTAGCCTCTGGTGGTAAATTTAAGACCAGTTTTACTGGCATGAAACTTGTTGGCAGCTGATGTTTTAAGGTTTAGCCCATAGCCCACAAGTATGAGTCACTAAAATATAGCCACTGATAGTGATATGTGAGAATGTAAGGCGTAAGCTAAGTAGTTTTACTTTTATTTTTAGCATCAAATCATTTTTTCATGTCAGGTGAAGCTTGTGGGTGACTATATGAGGCCTAAAAATAACTGTAATATGAAACTTTTGTTTTGATATAGCTTACCTACCTCATGTCGATAATAATCCCTTTGGCCTTTTTTGCCCCAAGCATTCGCTATATGTTTGATCACCTTGGCTTTTTTGATAGTTCACAGTAGATCACTTTATCATTGGTTTACTATATCTCATCAATTTACCACTTATCAATTTGTGCTCAGGATCATAAAAGGACATGTAAACTGATGGCAAGGTGTTACTTATATTACAAGAGATATGCACAAAAGTATTTCAACCCTCCTGGACCTGGCATAGCATGCTCCCGCCCAATGATGTCATTATGAATTATTGCAATAGTAATGATAAAACTATACCATTTTAGTGCACATTTTCTGGTTTTGTGGAGTGGAATTAGGAAATGTGACAATCATTCTTGGCATTTGCCTTACATTGGCACAATTTGGCTGTTTTTGCATGTATTCTGTTTAAACAATGCCCACCTACCACTTTTTTAGATTCATGATGAAGTGCCACTACGAAGTGCTGGATGTGGAACGGACTGCCACTGATGAGGAACTCAAGAAGGCATACAGGAAGCTGGCCCTCAAATGGCATCCTGGTAGGCTGGCCCTCCACTATATTAACATAATGAATAATGACAATTCTAATTGATTTGGCTGAGACACAATTGATCCTTTTTTAAATGCAACAAGAAACAGGAATCCCTTCTACAGAGGAAATAGCATGCTAACTTCAAATGGGGACCGACGTGCTTTGGTATGACCTTTTGCTGGGCATTCACACTAATGTTCTCTTGCTGCTGCTATTTGCAGACAAGAACCCTGACCAAATCGAGGAGGCGACCGCCCAGTTTCGGCTGGTGCAGCAGGCCTACGAGGTGCTGAGTGACGCTCAGGAGCGGGCCTTTTACGACCGACACCGGGAGCAGATTCTGCGCGGCGGTAAGTCTGATGACGTGCGGCGGCGAGGCTCCGTATTCTGCGGTGGTTGGGTTTGACGCTTTACGGTGGTAAGATCGATCGATACACCAGCATCGATGGTGTACCACCATCGATGCTGTATGGTGGTACGACCTGATAGTAGTTAGGTAATGGTAGTGTCTTGTGCTTCACTGCATTAAAGTCTGATGGCACGTGGCAAGACAGTGATGTGATGTAACGTGGCATTACTGACGTAATACTGCAGAGTGGTGGGGTTAAGCACTGCAGTGGGTATTGTGTGAGCATGGGTCGGGTATGGACTAGGAATGACTTTATCTATGTTGGCGGTTTGGCGCAATTCTCACTGCATTCTGCCGTTGAGTTGTCCCGATGTGTTATTGCAGGGTTTGACAATGACTACAAGGACAACAGTCTGAACGTGTACCAGTACTTCACGGCGTCTTGCTACAGCGGTTACGGAGACGACGACAAGGGTTTCTATGCCGTTTACAGGTACAGAGACAGATAAAAGGGAATCTAAGCAGATAAAAGGGAATCTAAGCATTAGTTATCGTCTATAAAGGCTATGGGCTTAGGTCTAGGATACCAAATAATTTAGGGTACTTTTTCTTGTTTGAAAGAATATCAATTATCGATTGTGCGCAAATCTAACACTTATTATTTTCAGAGAGATTTTCAAGACGTTGGCTGCTGAGGATTCGGATTTCGCCAAAGATGGAGACAGTGATTTCGAGATTCCCGAATTCGGTAACAGCCAGAGTGTTTTTGAAGAGGTAAGTTGGCCTCGGAGACTCCGGTTTGTACCTATACCTACTTGTATTTCCTGATCATGTAAGTCTGCTTTTGAGTGTTTGGATTTGGAAGTTGGATGTTGCCATACAGAGGACAACATCGACTCTTGGCCTAAATGGTATTTATTTGTCCTCTTCATGAAAGGAATGCCATTTCTCTCAAGTTAAATTGACATTCTTTGCATATTGGAATCCAGCCACACCAGTTTTGCTGTCTCACTGCTGGTCCTGACTGGTGACGGTGCCGGCGCTCGGCGAACTACCCTGTTCCTTTAGCCCTGTGTTCCTGAAACTGACCCTGTATCCTGTTCATACAGGTGGTGCAGCCGTTCTACGCGCACTGGCAGTCGTATTGTACCCGTAAAACGTACACATGGCTGGACAAGTACGACATACGACAGGGCCCCAACCGATGGACTGTGCGGCAGATGGAGAAGGAGAACAAGAAGATTCGCGACAAGGCGCGCAAGGAGCGCAATGAGGAGGTGAGAGTATTGTAATGAGACAATTCGTAGGTGTGGTCGGAACTTTGCACTGAGTGCTGTCTCACTTTGTACGCACTTTTTCTAGCTTCTTATGGCTAAGGCTGTGTATTATTATCTCCGCCTGCACATCAATGAAGGATCATGGAATGCATGGATGCTCATGAAGAACGGTCTAGCAGTGGACTGATCCTGTGCGGAATTTACTGACGCGAACATTTAATGAGCTGATGACGACTATGCCGTTGCCGCTTGCGGCGTTACTAGTGACTTGGTTACCAATGTAACACTACCAGTGACTCTGCCTCCCCTTTTCCGGTATCCAGGTGCGCGCGCTGGTGGCGTTCGTGCGGAAGCGAGACCGGCGCGTGGCGGCCCAGCAGCGCCGTCTGCAGGAGCGTGCTGCCGAGAACGCGCGGCGCGCTGAGGAGCAGCGGGACCAGCAGCGGCAGCAGCGGCTGCGGGAGATGGCAGACTACACGGAGGCCGAGTGGAGCCGCGCCGACCAGAGCCAGCTGCAGGTGAGCAGAGCTGACCAGAGCCAGCTGCAGGTTCGTCTAATGTGGATCGTCGTTGATCGATTTGATGTTATCTTCCACTCGTTTCTCGTGTTTTGGGTATTTTGCGATTAGATTTTGCGAACGGCCGCAGCCCGCGGCGCTGCCTGAGTACCGCCTCGGTCTGGTTTCAGCAAATGGAGGCGGCGATCGCGCGGGAGTTTGGTGAGGCGGTGTCGGACAGTGAGGACTCGAACAGCGAGCAGGAGGCCGAGGACGACCACCTTTACTGCCCCGCCTGCGACAAAGTCTTCAAAACAGACAAATCGTGGGTGTGCGCTGAGGAACGTATGGGAAAGTGTTGGAGCTTTCCGATTTGTCGTTGGTCTGGTAGGATGAGTTCTATTGTGTGTAACTACAATGATTCAATATAGTTTTTCTTCCAATTGTCTTCTGACTGTCTGTCCTACTGTCGCCAGGTTCAAGAACCACGAGGGCTCGAAGAAGCACCGCGACAACGTGGCGCGCCTGCGGGAGACACTGCTGGAGGAGGAGGAGACCCTGAACGGCGACACCGGGGCGGCGGTCAGCAGCGGGGAGGGCGACCGATCTCCCGGTGAGTGGGGACCGGCGACTAGAGCGGGCGACGGAGATATAACTGTCAGCTCTGTGATGTAGCGGTGTTACGAGGCACAGGTGTCACGTGTTACCGGTGATACTCTGCGACCTGTTTCCGTGTACGTGCATTTTAACAACGTATTGCGTGCTTTATGACTATGTACTGCATGCATTTGCACTATGCGTCATTGCACTCAAGTGAGTATAGTTGAAACCGCTGACAGTTTGCTCTCTCCTAACAGCAACTTGCATCTTCCGTGCTGTTTCAGACGAGGGTCCGGCGCAACCCAGCAGTGCCAAGTCCAAGAAAAAGAAGCGTCAGAAGCGGCGGGCGGCGGCGGCTGTCGCCGACCCCGGCCTGAACATGTCCCGGGGCGCGGGTGGGGGTCTGTTCGCCGAGACGGCCGACCTGGCCGGGGACTCGGGCTCGGACGGCGAGGCACCGGACTCGGCCGATGACGCGGAGCTGGCGGCGGCCGCGGCGGCACTGCGGCTTCAGGAGCAGTCGGAGCAGCCGCAGGCGCCGCCCGCCGCGCCCCGGCTCAAGGGAAAGAAAGCCAAGGACGCGCGGAAAAAGGCCAGGGCGGAACAGCAGCAGGTCAGTTCCTTCCTAGGTGTGGTAGGGTCAGTGGCTGATCCAGAGAGAGAGAGAGAGAGAGAGAGAGAGAGAGAGAGAGAGAGAGAGAGAGAGAGAGAGAGAGAGAGAGAGAGAGAGAGAGAGAGAGAGAGAGAGAGAGAGAGAGAGAGAGAGAGAGAGAGAGAGAGAGAGAGAGAGAGAGAGAGAGAGAGAGAGAGAGAGAGAGAGAGAGAGAGAGAGAGAGAGAGAGAGAGAGAGAGAGAGAGAGAGAGAGAGAGAGAGAGAGAGAGAGAAACAGTCAGTCACTACTCAGGTCCAAATCTGTTTGACTTTTCTTCGTTTTGTCAGGTTGTATTTTGCATTTTGCTACTACTTGCTTGAAAAGGTCAAAGCAAGTCGTTTTTATGTGCGCCGTGTGACAATTCGTGTATCGATAGGAGTGTTTTGCGCACCACATGACACACTGCTGCCTTGTACGCATCTGTTTCACGCGCTGACACACCGGTCTCCGTATTCTTAGCGTGCTCCTAGTCCTAACGCACTGTTCTCTGTCGGCAGGCGGCGCCACCGTCCGAGGCGCCCGACTCAGCAGCCGCCATCCTGGCCTGTGAGGTATGTCGGTCCTCCTTCCCCTCCAAAAACAAACTGTTCGACCACCTCAAGAAGACCGGCCACGCTGTGATAAAGAAGGCGTCTGGCAAAGAGGGCGCGCCTCCGGCCACAGCCGACAAGAAGGCCAGGAGAAAACGGTGACCGCCGCGGTCGGCTGCTAGTGTCTGACTGTTGGGGCGGGACGGAGGGTATTTATTGAGTCGGCAGGGATGGGAGGCGATAGCATAACATTTCCTCCCATCTAGTCGCCCTCCCACGCCCTTTATAGGACAATTTTGAGCCAGAGTGCAACGTAATGAGGTGGTTTTCGTGTCATATCGAGGCACAGCCTATGCGGCATAGTTCGCAGTGATATATCTCATAAAGGCCTACCATTATTTGTTGAATGGTCTGTTTTAGGCTAAAGGTGTCAGACAATACATTTTGAGACTGCTAATGTCTGGGTTTCATGCTGTCCTTTCCTATAACGATGATTGATAAAACGGTTTTCAGTATTGTGTAACCAATTAAATGGGTAGCCACCAGCCGGGACCAAGATTACTTCACCAATGCATGGACCAATGCCGGGACTTCATCACAGGCCAATGCTGGGGGGTCATTTGAAGCCGATTGGTTGCCAATCTTAGGTTAGGTGTATTTATTTCTTCTGTGAATTCTGCCAGATTTCCTGTAACCAAAATTAATGAATATTAGTTCTCATTTCAGTTCTTTGGTGATTCGTTTTCCGCCTGGTGTTCCTCTCCTGATTTGGCAAAGCCGCGGTCACAAAGCTTTATGTGAGGTTTGCAGGATCACTGTGGCATTAGGTATTGAATGGAAATCATCTGGATTCTAACATCGGTGCCACTGGATCTGTTGACCGGAACTCGGTTCTAATCAGTAGCTCCAATATACGCAGAACCCATTCTGAGAAACTAGCGCTCTGAAAGTCACAAACTAAATATACGTGATAGCGGCTGGAATAACACTGCACACATTGACCGGATCTATAAACAAATGGACTACGTCATACATCACGTGACCGTCGGTCTGTTGACTCGCATGTGGTGAACCGCAGCTTATTTGTGGTTACAATCAGTTGTTGCGCTTATTCTGGATCAGGTTGATCGATGTATAATTGTTCGGCTTACTTATTGTGTTAGTGTTCCCTGTGCAGTGCTGCACTTTCCTTTGCCGCTTGTCACGTTCGTTCTTGTCATTGTCACATCATAGTCTTTCCACTGTGAAGGGAGTTTTTAATGGATGCAGTGCATAAGTGATACTTGATATTGCGCACACTGATATCTCATCTTTACCAGAAACAGTACCCACTTTCTCTGACGTTCAGTTTATGTTTGTTGATCTGCACGGTATCACAGAGCCGCAGTGGCGTGGAACTATCTCCAAAACAGACTGACGTATAGGCGAACCTATTCTGGAAATGGGATGAATGTTTCATACGATCAAGCCGAATGACATCGGTTTTGTTTACTGCGCACTGCTCTCGTGGTCTTGCAATCGCACTGACTATCGCAAACGGGTCTTCCTGCACTTCCTTTCGTGGAACTTCATCTCACGAAGCTGAAAGTCGCTGCAATATGAAACCGTGCAAGATGGATCTGCGATACTTGTCCATCTCGACCGGAGAGGACACATCAATTTAGATTATGCTGGTCACAGTTTGTTCCGTGGCGTGGTCTGTTTTCTTTCTGGTGCGATACGGGATGGGTCCCCGGGGTCCGTTCGCCCGGCGCCGGTGTATGTTGACGTTGGGCTGCCTGGCGCCGTCTCCTCGGACTAATCGCCGCGCCTCTGGCGACATGGTGACTGGGCCGGCCGGCCGGCGCGACAACATGGAAAACTCACTCCGGCGTCAACAGGGGATACACGGTATGGGCTGGTCGGCATCAATGTGGAACACTTGGATTGGTCAGTATCAGTATGACAGATCTAGCTCGGTTGGTGTCAACATGGAATATCCCAACTGCTCGTTGGTTGGTCTCGAAGGAAGGATTTCAAACCCAACCTGGAGGGGGTGCGGAGCGACCAGATCGCCGCGACCTCGGCGACTGAATCTATGCGCTTCAAACGGTCAACTGTGCTGGTTCGACTTCGAGTGGATCCAACGACAACCTGGATGGTGCTGTCATTGAAGGCTGGAATCGGTCGATGTCATCTCAGAAAGGACAAGACCATTACAGAACTGGAATGGTGCGATGCCATTCAAGAGTAGCATGTGTTGGACACAAAGCATCTGATCTGGTTTACATGTGTTGAATTTGTAGTTGAGCTAGGTGAATTGCAGTCTGCAGCAGTTTAGCTCTCGGGGGCGTGGGATGACCACTTGTATCAGCGCTGAAAAACTCGCTACTTGCAGTTGTCAATGTTGTGAAGTGATTCGTTACCGTCGGGGTCACGAGACGTCAGCGACCTTGTTGGGATAACCGGAGCCAAAGTGCGTTTGGTGCTAGTCGTTTGACGTTTCTCTGTTGTGCAGGATGTCTGAGTCAGAGTTTAATTCGGACGTCGCATCTCCAGGCGATAACGAAGCTATCGGCTTAGTCGAGTGCTGCATAAGTGCCTATTGTCACGGCCTGAGTGGGACAGGCTCAGCCTGTTTATCGAGGTGATGGGTTCAAGTGGGTACTGTGTAGGACGCTCGACCTTCCCTGTCCCGCTGAGGTGGAGGGGTATTCTGTAGATATTATCTCTTAGTAGGTAGGTACCCATGCTTCCTATAGGGGGATTTTTCTCTTCCACCCAGCAGAGTGCGTTCAGCTATTAGTAAAGTAATCTTGCGTTCAGCTGGATATCCTTACGGGACTCTGGATATTGGATAATTTCTGTCCTGGGTACACTCGGGGGCAGATTGATTTTCTACAACTCTTTATCCACCGGGTTCCTATGGCTCAGCATTGGCAGCAGCCGCCTGGTACCGGTAGACTGTGCCGCTTCACTTACTTGTCAAGCGGCACAGCCTACCCACACCGTATGCCACCGGTCTGGGTCGGTGGCTGGAAGGCGATGTGGGCCGCCTGTGACGTCAGCGCAGCGGTGAGGGCCGAGCCCGGAGGCATGGCTCGGGTCGGCGCGGCGCGGCGGCTGGCGAGGGCTGGGGAGTGAGGTGGGGTGGGAGCACGGACCATCGCGCGGCTGAGCGAGTGTAGTTAACTTTCGCGTCTCAAGGCGCCAATTATTCTACCTAACAATTGTGCTAAAGCAGTTGTTAAAATGTGAAATGTCCTATCCCCAAGACAGCGCCTATCATCATACTTGCCATGCACATTACGACACACTTAAACGTGGCATGGGGACAGCCGATAGAATTTATATCACACGTGCATCGAGTTGCGGAGCTACATTGTTTTCAACAGATAAGTATAAAGGCCTTGATTGAGCTCATTGGTGTCTATTATTTCGCACAGCAATCGTCGAGAGACGTGGGAACTGGGGTTTTTGGATAGCGCGGCGTTCCAACTTTAAGCAACTCTTACTTTTCCTCTAATGTGTGGTCGCAGCCACCAAAAGCAAACCGTTCCAACTAGGAACAAATAAGTCGCGCACCTGGGACGGTTCGAACCGGGTTTCTCCAACCCGTCACCCTACGACGCTAGCGTGTATCCTGTCGTAGGCTGCTGTGTAGAACGAACGGTCTGTGTCAATCTATCCGTGAGCCGTACGACGGCCGACAGGGTCTTAGTTGGCTGTGGCCGATGCGACCTAGTAAGGTCGTTCGAGTGAATCTCCGTGTTCTTCCCTCGCCTCAGAGTAGCCGCTCTTCTCCAAATGCCCGAGCCGTTTTCTATGTGTATTGGTCTTGCAGCGAACAGCAGAGTCGAAAAACGAATTGACAATGTCGCCGAAAGCCGCGGTCATATTGATATGCTGGCCGTCCCTAGTACTACCAATATGCCCGCAGGCGCGGCGAGAAACAAGCTTAACGTATGAGTCACCGTCCGGCTGCCGGGAGAGCCCCTACCGCGACCTTTGTTCAGTCATGACGTCACGACAATGGGTTCGTAAACGTACGAGCAGCGGCCGCCTCAGGGGTGCCGCCGTGACCTTTGCACGACACGTTCTATAGCGTATGGCACAGCGGTTACTAGCAAGGTTGAGGCCAGCGGCAGGCCCACAGCCTCCCCTGCGCAAACCTTGGATTCTTCGATATTCACGCACCAGTTCGACGCTTCACGTCAGTTAGCGCACGGTGTCCTCACTGAGCTCCAGGGTCGTCCATGGACGACCTTGGTCGCTAACTTTGAGTAAGCCTTCAGCTCTTTTTGCTTTATGTGACTGTAGGTAGGTCATCTAGGTTAACTTTGCTCAGTCCGGGGGAAACCTAGCGGTGATAACGAACCGGACTATTTATCTTTGCCTGTAACAGACCCCGATCATGGCCATGGACTCGACCGGACCGCCTCCAGGGGCGCGTCTCCCACCCGACCTTGACCCACCAGAAGGCCGCGCTCTCATCCTGATGAGCCGGCCTGATGGAACTCCACTGCGAGGGAACCCGTTCGCCATCATCAGGGAAATCCGCTCGATCTGTGACTCGGAAGTTGAAAAAACGAAACAACTCGGATCTGGCAAAATTCTCATCTCGACCTTCAACAAAGACCAAAGTTCTGCCCTTCTCTCCTGCCAAACCATGCTCGGAAAACCTGTTTCGGCTATTCTCGCTACCAACCTGATGTCATCACAGGGTCTCATTCACTGTCCGGACCTCAGCGACCTCTCTGACGAAGAGCTTCTCGCCGAACTAGCCCCGCAGGGTGTTATCGAGGTGCAGAGACTGAAATCTAAAGATCGAACTCCAAACCCCCTGATTCGACTTCGCTTCAAAGGACTCGACCTCCCAAGAAAGCTCCTCTGCGGGTACCTCTCCGTCCCTGTTCGACCCTGGATCCAGCTGCCAAGGCAATGCCGTAGGTGTTGGAAGCTAGGTCATTCCATGCGCTCTTGCCGACGGAAAGAGACTGTCTGCGGGCAGTGCTCTGCCAGGGACAGCCACCCCACAGGTGACTGTACCTCGGTCCCAAAGTGCCCTCTCTGCTCTGGTCCACACCCAGCATGGGACCGAAACAGCTGCCCCGTCTGGAAAGCCACCAAACGAGACACTCGAGAGCGAACGCCATTCCAACCCCCGCCGCTCAACTCCACAGCCTGGCCACCACTCGAGAGCCAGCACCGAACGACGCAGCCCCCTCTGGCTCACACAGACGCCTCTGTCCAGACAGATGGTGAGGTCATGGCCCCTAAGGCGACCGCAGTCCCTATTCAGACCCAGACCGAGACAGCCAGCTCTCAGACGACCGACGCCAGCACCCAAACGACCAAACTGACCACCTTCGACTCGACGTCTCAAACTCGACCCGCCCGACTGGTCTCCGCCAAAGTCCAGACTGACACCCCCGACTCACCGACACCAACCACGGACCCCGACGACTTCGGCTGCTC